GCCTTCCGGCCAACGTTCCCTCTGCGGAAACCATGCCCACTCCAAGCCCCGCCGCGCCGCTTCCCGCACACACACACCCTGCCGCACACACACACGCACCCCCACGCTCCATCACTCCCCCCGCCACCGCACACACACACGCAACCCCCCTCCCCCCGCCGCCACACACACACACACAACCCCACGCTCCATCACTCCCCCCGCCGCCGCACACACACACGCAACCCCACTCCCCCCGCCGCCGCACACACACACACGCAACCCCACGCTCCATGACTCCCCTCGCTGCCGCACACACACACGCAACCCCACGCTCCATCACTCCCCTGCCCCAATCTTACCTTCTTTTACTTCACGCCACCTCCAAACCCCACCCCGCCCCTTCCCGCCCTGTCAAAATCCAGGAAAGACAGGAAGGAAGGAAAGAAGGAAGAAAGAGAAAGGGAGGTAAAGAAAAAGGGGGAAGGAAGGAAAGTTAGAGGAAGAAGAAAGGAAAGAAAAGGAAAGATGGAAGGAAAGAAAAGAGAGACAGCAGAAGAGAACAAAAAAGGGGGAAGGAAGGAAAGAGATAGAGAAAGAAGAGGAGAAGGAAAGATGGAAGGAAGGAAGGAAGGAAGGAAGGAAGGAAGGAAGGAAGGAAGGAAGGAAGGGGAGGGAGGGAGGGAGGGAGGGAGGGAGGGAGGGAAAGAGGGAAGATTGGCCACAGCAACACGTGGCGGGTAAAGGTTGTTATTTCTATTATTATTATTATGCTATTATTCCTATGAGACCCTTTTAGGGGGAATGGGAGAGGTGTCAGGTCCCAGAGGCAATGCATTGCATTATTGTTATTGTTATGATGGTGGTGAAATAAAAGGAAATAAAAAGTGAAAGAAGGAAGCAAACAGGGAGGGAAGAAAGGCAAAGGAAGAAAGGGGGAGGGAATGAAGGAAAGAGAGAAGGATGAAACCAAGTAGTGAAAGAAGGAAAGAAAGAAAGAGGTAGAGAAGGAAGAAAAGAGAGAAAGGGGGAGGAAAAGGGGGAAGGAATAGGTAGGGACCTCTCTTTCATAATAGTCCAGATATCTACCTCAACTTTGATAAGTTTTACTATAGGCCACAGCAACGCGTGGCAGGGCACAGCTAGTAGCATTATAAACAAGCACCTTGGACATGATGGCACGATTGTCAGCATAGATGAAACTCTATCCCTTCTGGCAGTGGTTGATCATTTGTGTAAATGTTAAACATTGATGGAGCAAGCACACACACCTGAGGAAGGCCATTCTTCTGTTTTCACCATTTTGTGCTGATTTGTTTTAATGTATGTATTTTATGGTTTGAACTGTGTTGTGCCCCACCTTGAGCTGTGAGGAGAGTCAGATTATTATTATTATTATTATTATTATTATTATTATTATTATTATTATTATCGTGATTAGCAGAGAGAACTCATTTGTTGGTGGTGGAGTGGTTTGAGGGTTGGGTAATGGGTAAAAGGTAAAGGTTTTCCCCTGACATGAAGTCCAGTCGTGTCCGACTCTGGGGATTGGTGCTCATCTCCATTTCTAAGCCGAAAAGCCGGCATTGTCCGTAGACACCTCCAAGGTCATGTGGCCAGCATGACTGCATGGAGCACCGTTACCCTCCCGCCAGAGCAGTACTTATTGATCTACTCATATTTGCATGTTTTCGAACTGCTTGGTTGGCAGAAGCTGGGGCTGACATCGGGAGCTCACGCCACTCCCTGGATTCGAACCTGCAACCTTTCAGTCAACAAGTTCAGCAGCTCAGTGCTTTAACCCACTGTGCCACCTGGGCAATGGGTACATCTACAATATAAACTTAATGGAGTTTGATGCCACTTTAATGGCCATGGCGCAATGCTACCAAGTCATGGGAGCTGTAGCTTGACAAGAACTTTCGACTTCTCTGTCAAAGGGTGCAGGTGCCTCAGGAAATGACAAATCCACTGAGCCATGTCAGTCAAAGGGGTATCAAAACTGCATCAGTTCTGCAATGTAGTACTTGCTTAGGCAATCCCTCGTTGTCCGAGTAGGATGGTCTTCCAAGATCAGTGTACTGGCAGTGGGTCCATAGGTGACTGTGGAGCCCTATTCTTGATCTGCATGTTCTCCTGCAGTGAGGGCACTGGTTTCCAGGTGGAAGGTGGTCCCGGTTGGGGTTCGCTTGAAGTGCCTTCCTCTAGGCAGGTTTGTCTCTTTCGCCCTCCATTCATGCCTCTTCAAATTCTTCAGCACTGCTGGTCACAGCTGACCTCCAGCTGCAGTGCCCAAGGGCCAGGGCTTCCCTGTTCTCAGTGTCTATGCCAGAGTTTTTAAGGTTTTCTTTGAGCCCATATTTAAATTTCTTTTCCTGTCCACCAACATTCCATTTTCCATCTTGAGTTTGGAGTAGAGCAACTGCTTTGGGAGATGGTGGTTGGGCATCCAGACAACGTGGCCGGTCCAGCGGAGTTGATGGTGGAGGACCATGGCTTCAATGCTGGTGGTCTTTGCTTCTTCCAGCACACTGACATTTGTCCGCTTGTTTTCCCAAGAGATTTACAGGATTTTCCGGAGGCAGCGCTGATGGAATCGTTCCAGGAGTTGCATGTGACGTCTGTAGACAGTCCACATTTCGCAGGCATATAGCAGGGTTGGGATGAGAATAGCTTTATAAACAAGCATCTTGACCTCCCTACGGATGTCCCGGTCCTCAAACACTCTCTGCTTCATTCGGAAAAAAGATTGCTCAGGCGGTGTTGTATTTCAGTGTCAATGATTACTTTTGTGGAGAGGTGGCTGCCAAGGTAGCGGAAATGTTTCTAATGTTACACCATTAAGCTGTATTTCTGGCATTGGAGAGGGATTGGCTGGTGACTGCTGGAAGAGCACTTTGGTTTTGTGCTGGCACAGCTGTGCCAGGAGATTTGAGTTCCTTTTCTTGCACTGTTAGTTTGGGCCATGCATTTTGCAATTGGATAGCGTTCCCCAGGTTGCAGTCATAGGGCCAACAACCTATCAATCGTGGTTAGAGCCTTTAGATCCGCCCCTTTCCCCAGGTTTGGAGGGGAAAGGGGACTTTTAGTTCAGTCTCACAGTTTGGAGCCTTACAGCAGGATGTATGGGCTTTTCTTTGTCCCATCTGCAAAAAGCTTCACTTCTTACAGCTTTTGCTGGGGAAAAAGGAAAACCTCTACAGCTTTTGCTGGGGAGTAAAGTTACAGTTCCACAGCTTTGCTGGAGGAATACAGCCAGCTTTGCTGGAAAATAAAGGAATGGTTCCACGGCCTTCGTGGGACAAATCTACAGGACACCAGCTCGGCAGATCTACAGCAACCATTGCCTGGTAAGGGACCACTTGGGCTATCCATAACACAGCTTGGGGCCGGAAGTTGGGGCCTCACACCAGCAGGGTAAAGAAAGATTGCCCAAGGAGGGGTCAGAAGGTTTCCCTAAAGAGGAAAGGAACAGTTTATCAAGCAGTTGCCTGTTCCTTTGTCGGCAGATAGAGAAAGCTACTAGTTTTTCAAGATTATAAAGCATTTAATTCGTTTGTTCGAAGATTTAAGCCTTAATAAAGAACTTTGTTGAACCTATTTTGAGCCTCTACCGAACTTTGTGTTGGGAAACCTATGGGACCCTTTAACTGAGGCACTCCAGTGTCCCGTTGGGCAACAGACAGGGGCGGCTCGTCCATTACACGAAGTAAGCGGTCACAGAACACTTTTTTTTGCCAGGGGCGCAGAGGTGCCTCTGTAAATGCCCCTCGACCGCCACTTGAGGAGCGCCCCCTCAGCTCACAACAGCCCTAGCAGTCCGGGGGGAGCCTCGGCTTTCTTGCCTCGCTGCTGGGCGATCCTCTTCCCAAAGGGGCCGGGCCCTTGAGCCTCGCCTAGCCCCTCTCGTTCCTGCTCCCCCTGGCCACGGTGCGCAAGCAGAGCCAAAAGAGAGAGAGAGAGAGAGAACCTCTCCGGCTGGAGGTATCTCCCACCTCCGCTCCCTCCTTTGTTTTTGCGCCTACCTTCAGGAAAGGTGGGCATCTCCACCTCTTTCTCTCTCTCTCTCTCTCCTGGTCCCAATGGCTGAGGAGAAAGTCAGGAGAAGAGGTGACTTTTGGTGCACACGCCGGGGTCTTCAGGCACGCCTCCGGACTCAAAGCGGGCCAGGCAAGGGAGCAAGTGCGGCAAGTGTAGTTACTGGGATGTATAGTTCACCTACAATCAAAGAGCATTCTGAACTCCACCAATGATGGAATTGAACCAAATATGGCACACAGAACTCCCACGACAAACAGAAAATATATATCAATGATTGGTTGGGGGGGGGGCAAAATACTGTTTGCTTACCATTGAAAATTACCTAGGGCCGCCTCTGGCAACAGAGGCCCAGTGTGCAACACCACAGGTTTTCTCAATGTTCAATGACAGGCCGAGCTTCTCGTATACCTCTGCAAAGGTGTTTATGTAGATGCAATGTTTATGTAGATGCAATGAAGGTGCAATGTAGATGCAGCCCCTGACTCTGGAAGAGCTGGGTTCACATCTCCGCTCGGCCATAGAAACCCATTGAGCAGCTATAGGCCTTTCCTCGAGGCTGAGAGAATGTGACTTGCCTATAGCCACTCAATGGGTTTCTATGGCAGAGTGGAGATGTGATTTATGGGGTTTTCTAATCAGCATGCCCTTCTTGGCATCATTCTCTCCAGTCAAGCCTTGCTGGCCTGTCCCAAGGCAATTTTGCATAAACACTTATTAGACTGTCATTTCCTAGGCTGTATCTGCTCTGTATCATTAATGCAGTTTGATTCCACTTTCTCCCTTTCAATGCACCCAGGATCTTAGCCTGGAGCTCTTCTTCCAAGGCGCGGCCCCTTTAAGAAAAGTCAAGGCGAGGTGGAGAAACTGGTTTGGTATGGAAGGCTTGCAAAGGCGTGACAACAAGGGAAAGGAGGTGGCAGCCCACATTTCAGAGGAGGCGGGCCCAGGCGCTTGAGTGGCAGGGGCGTGGGGCCAATCAGAAGTGCGGCTACCTGCTGGGACCTGCAGGTGTGACTCTAGTTTGATCAGGGATCGCCTCTGGCAGGGAAAGGATTTCCAAAAGGGATCCAGAAGGGATCATGGAGCCTATTTCGAACTGGAATCCTCAAAAGGTGGTGACTTGGATGAGAGGTGAGAGGGGCAGGTGGGACTGGGAAGGGGGGAAAACACCAACCTGTCTTGGACAGGTGTGTTGTTACCTGGGGAAGATAATAATATTTCCCCCCTTCATAAGGAGGATATATGGAACTTACAAAACTTTAGTTTCACAAGTAATGAGTGTTTGGGGTAATAGAGGACCTTCCATACAGTTGTATAAAATCCACATTGAACTGGGAGATATGGCAGTGTGGACTCAGATAACCCAGTTCAAAGCAGATCTTGTGGATTATCTGCCTTGATATTCTGGATTATTTGGCTTTATGGAAGAATCCTTCCACACAGCCCTATATCCCAGAATACCAAGGCAGAAAATTCCACAAGATCTGCTTTAAACTGGGTTATCGGAGTCCACACTCAGATAATGTGGGATTTTCTGCCTTGAAATTTTGGGATTTAGGATTGTGTGGAAGAGCCTTGAGAACTGGATGTAACACACACAAAAAAGTGATATAATGCTTCTCCCCTTGCCTTCTATACCACTTTCCTCCCCCTCATTGATTTACTACGTATTCGTTAAGACTTAATTTACTATCACTAACACAAGTACCCTACCATTCCCTTTTCCCAACTATATTCTCTGGAATATCTATCTCTGAAATATCTAACTACAAGAGAGGAGATTCCATCTGAACATGAAGAACTTCCTGACTGTGAGAGCCGTTCAGCAGTGGAACTCTCTGCCCCGGAGTGTGGTGGAGGCTCCTTCTTTGGAAGCTTTTAAACAGAGGCTGGATGGCCATCTGTCAGGGGTGATTTGAATGCAATATTCCTGCTTCTTGGCAGGGGGTTGGACTGGATGGCCCATGAGGTCTCTTCCAACTTTTTGATTCTATGATTCTATCTATCTCTGTGTGTGTTTCTAATATATGTAATTACTTTATGCTTGTGGGTAAACAATATTTCTTGCTGCTTCTTTGTCAGTGTTGATGTGGAGAGTGTCTGGTTTGCCTACTCTATATCTATGGCTGGATGGGTCTTTGTCAGGAGGGCTTTGATCACGTTTTCTTGCCCTGGTGAAAGGAGTTGAACTGGATGGCCTTAAGTATTTTCTATTGGTCATGGGGGTTCTGTGTGGGACATTTGCCCCAATTCTGTCATTCGTGGAGTTCAGAATGCTCTTTGATTGTAGGTGAACTATAAATCCCAGTAACTACAACTCCCAATTGTCAAGGTCTATTTCCTCCAAACTCCATCTATGTTCATATTTGGGCATATGGAATATTTGTGCCAAGGTTGGTCCAGATCCATCATTGTTTGAGTCCACAGCGCTCTCTAAATGTAGATGAACTACAACTCCCAAACTCAAGGTCACTGCCCATCAAACCCTTCTAGTGTTTTCCATTGGTCATGGGAGTCCTGTATGCCACGTTTGGTTCAATTCCATCATTGGTGGAGTTCAGAATGCTATTTGATTTTAGGTGAACTATAGATCTTAGCAACTACAACTCACAAATGACAAAATCAATTTTTTGAGTGATGGCCACTCCTTGGGTTAGTAGGTGTTTTGTGTCCAAATTTGATGTCAATTTGTCCAGTGGTTTTTGAGTTATGTTAATCCCCCAAAGAACATTATATTTTTATTTATATAGATAAGGAAATGATTAACTAAAAACCAACAAAACCAATTAACCAGGGAGGAAGAAATGGGGGGTCGCGTATCTCCTTCAGGAGAGATAATAATAATAATACTTTATTTATACCCCGCTACCATCTCCCCAAGGAACTCGGTGCAGCTTACATGAGGCCGAGTCCACAATACATCAATACAAGCAATTTTTTTTGTCGTGTCAGGAGCGATCTGAGAAACTGCAAGTCGCTTCTGGAGTGAGAGAATTGGCCGTCTTCAAGGACATTGCCCAGGGGACGCCTGGATGATTTTGATGTTTTATCATCCTTGTGGGAGGCTTCTCTCATGTCCCCGCATGAGGAGCTGGAGCTGATAGAGGGAGCTCATCCGCCTCTCCCCGGATTCGAACATGAGACCTGTCGGTCTTCAGTCCTGCCGGCATTTCTGTATTGCCACCAAGCAATACAACCACAATACAAAGCAAAATACAAATACAATTAAAATAAATCTCATACATAAATAGCATAAACATTGAACAATAGCACAACACACATTTAAAATCTATGGCTGGGCCAAATGTAATTAAAATTAAAAAATAATGCTGGGCATGAACAAGATAGAGGAGGTGGGGCGTTGGTGGAAACGTACAAGCAGTCCTAAATCAGTATAAAGTGCTTTAGAGGACATAATGCTAAGGGTTCATTATTTTGGGAAGGCACACTGGAATAACCACGTTTTCAACCTCCTCCTAAAGACTGCCAGAGTTGGGGCATGCCTGATGTCCTTGGGAAGTGAGTTGAGGGGCCACCACCAAGAAGGCCCTCTCTCTCGTCCCCACCGATCGCGCTTGCTATGTAGGTGGGAGTGCAGATGATCAAAGAGATCGTGTGGGTTTGTACACAGAAATGTAGTAAACATAACAATAATAATAAATAACGAGACCTTGTCCAACTACAACTCCCTCCCAAGATCCCATAGCATTTTTTAATTTATCATGTCAGAAGTGAGTTGAGTTATTTATTTTATTTATTTATCGTGTCATCAGCAACCATACCATTGTATTACATTTCTAACAACAAAACAAACAAACAGATTTTAAAAAAACACAGATTTTGCAAACTTGGTAGTTGGTTAAATGTCCTTTGACCAGTATCTGGCCACTTGGAGTGCCTCTGGTGTTGCCGCAAGGAGGTCCTCCATTGTGCATGTGGCAGGGCTCAGGGTGCATTGCAGCAGGTGGTCAGTGGTTTGTTCTTCTCCGCACTCGCATGCCGTGGATTCCACCCTGTAGCCCCATTTCTTAAGATTGGATCTGCATCTCGTGATGCCAGAGCGCAGTCTGTTCAGCGCCTTCCAAGTCGCCCAGTCTTCTGTGTGCCCAGGGGGGAGTCTCTCATCTGGTATCACCCACGGATTGAGGTTCTGGGTTTGGGCCTGCCACTTTTGGACTCTCGCTTGCTGAGGTGTTCCAGCGAGTGCCTCTGTAGATCTAAGAAAACTATGTCTTGATTCAAGTCGTTGATGTGCTGGCTGATACCCAAACAAGGGATGAGCTGGAAATGTTTCTGCCTTGGTCCTTTCACTATTGGCTGCTACTTGAGTTGAGTTAAAAAGCATTTAAAGACACAAACAAAGTGAACTGCCCTGAGTCCTCTTCGAGGTTGAGCAGGACAGTATACAAATATGGCAAATAAATAAACAAACAAATAGCACAAATAAAAAACTTGGCATTCTACTAAGTGTCTTTTGACCAGAAGCTGGCCATTTGAAGTGCCTCTGGTGTGGCTGTGAGAAAGTCCTCCATTGTGCATGTGGCAGGCTCAGGTTGCATTGTAGTCGGTGGTCTGTAGTTTGCTCTTCTCCACACTCGCATGTCGTGGACTCCACTTTGTAGCCCCATTTCTTAAGGTTGGCTCTGTATCTCGCAGTGCCAGAGCGCAGTCTGTTCAGCGCCTTCCAGGTCGCCCAATCTTTTGTGTGCTCACCAGTTTCTCATCTGTTCTCAGCCACTGATCAAGGTGCTGGGTTTTAACCTGCCACTTTTAGATTCTCGCTTGCTGAGGTGTTCCGGCGGGACATGAGATAAGCTTCCCTGCAGAATCGTAACACATCCTGGCATCCCCTGGACAACATCTTCATAGACGGCTGATTCTCTCACATCAGAAATGTAGCCTGCTTACTCCATCAATGTTTAAGATATACACAAATGATCAGCCACTGCCAGAAGGGACAGAGAGTTTCAGCTATGCTGATGATTTTGCCATCACCGCCCAAGCAGGGAGTTTTGAAATGATTGAACAGAAGCTCTCTGCGCCCTTCCACATAGCCCTATATCCCAGAATATCAAGGCAGAAAATTCCACATTATCTCTGTGTGGATTCAGATAACCCAGTTCCAAGCAGATATTGTGGGATTTTCTGCCTTGATATTCTGGAATAGAGGGCTGTGTGGAAGGGTCCTCAAAAGCTTTAGGTGCCCATACTGCCTATTACTGGGGAAACAAGCTGATTCCTAATCCATCTGAAATACAGTTGTGTGCTTTTCATCTTAAGAGCAGACAAGCATCTCGAGCTCTGAGGATTACCAGGGAAGGAATCCCACTGGAACATTGTAGCACACCCAAATATCTGGGATTCACTTTGGACCATGCTCTGACTTACAAGAAGCTCTGCTTGAAAATCAAGCAAAAAGTCGATGCTAGAAACAATATTGTATGAAAGCTGACTGGCACAACCTGGGGATCACAACCAGACACAGTGAAGACATCTATTCTTGCGCTTTGCTACTCCACTGCTGAGTACACATACCCAGTGTGGAACACATCTCATCACATTAAAACAGTAGATGTGGCTCTTAACAAGACATGCCCCATTATCACAGGATGTTTATGCCCCATACCACTGGAGAAAGTATACCGTTTAGCTGGTATTGCACCTCCTGATATCCACCGGGAAGTAGCAGCCAATAATGAAAGGACCAAGGCAGAGACATCTCTCGCCCATCTTCTGTTCAGATATCAGCCAGCATGCCAACACCTTAAATCAGGCATCCTCAAATTGCGGCCCTCCAACTGTTTAGGCCACCAACTCCCAGAAGCCCTAGCCAACTTGTTCCATGATCAGGTATTCTGGAAGCTGAAGGCCAAAACAGCTGGAGGGCCACAGTTTGAGGATGCCTGCCTTAAATCATCCCATAGCATTGAGCCAGGGCAGTTAAAGCTGTGTGCCAAACTGCATTCATTCTTCAGTATATAAATGCACCCTTGGACTTCAAATCCCAAGTGCCTTGATCCACGATCAGGGTTTTTTGGGAGCTGAAGTCCAAAACACCTGGAAGATTAAAGTTTGGGTAATGTTTTTGAGAATTCTTTTCCTTCATAGGACTTTGTTCTATAGCAGGCATG